AAGCTATTACTTATTTCAACACAGTCATTCAACAAAAGAACCGCATGAACTTAACACTTATCGTAATTAAACTACAATTGTAGTAAAAACTAGCGCGTTGGTGGGACTGAGAACATATTACAAGTCTGTGTTCACTCCTCCTTACCTTACTACCGGATATAAGGCTAGTGCCGATGTGGCGCAACCTTATTTGCTATTTTGGTGTCTTCATAGTCGTTTATTTTGATGAATTTTATTTTAAAAACTACTTTTGCTGCGTTATCCAGGGTAAAGCGCTGTATAAAGTACTGCATTTGGTGCCACGTTTGACATAAGCGAAACTACTTGTCAGTGTTTTCGTTTCTTCCTCTGTACAGTTTAAAAAGTTTTCTGATTTGTACCCTGGTATGTAGAACTGTAGTATTTTTATTCGTTGCATCTGTAGGTGCTATGATTTTATCCTCGTACCCCAGAAATCCGATGTTAGGAAATGATAGTACTCAGAACTTCTGCGGAATAAAAGGTGTTTACGTGTCCAAATGTTTGGCCACATGACTATCTGTCCTCCCATGTACATTCGCAATCCAAAAAAACTATGCACAGGTTTATGTTAGAGACACAAGAATTAGGCATATATTTGGATTTGAATAAAGAAAAGAGGATGACCGTTTGTGTTATTTGTTTGTTTCTGGCTGTTGACAGTATGGTGCAGTTGTCTGAAGGAACCTATACTTGGTTTGTGTGTGGGTTGCTTGCGCTCTGTACTGGAATATTCAGACATAGATACCTGTTATTAAAGATTAATGAACGAAAAGATCGCAGGAAAGTATTTATAAAACCAGTCTAGTGGTACTAACCCCAGCGATACGACCGAAGAAAAAAGACTTCATTTTGGTTTTTATCGCCCTTTGTCCTCTAAATAGTAAAAAAAAACTATTTCTAGAGTAAAGCCTTTAAGCATGGTTTTGTGGCTGTTTAGATTAATCTAACTAGATCGTGCTTACACTTTTTAAGGAAGGAATTATTTTCTCGTCTATCGCCTTAACTTGTTAAGGGCTCTTAGGCATTACATGCTTTTAATTTTAGGGCAAAATCCCTTAATCATAGTTCCTTAGCATGTATTTCAATGCCATCGTTTTCAATTGATGTCCAACAAAATGGTGGTCGGTCAAATGTTTGTTTCAAACTTGGTACAGCAGCCGGCATTCTTTTTAGGTCTTGTTTTCTCGAAGATAGAGGAGGGTTACCTAAAAAGCAATGATTCGGTCTTTGTTTCTATGAGCTTGAACACATTTTATGGCCCTGTTGTTTGTTTGTTTTATTGTTTTCAATTCTTTGTCACAGTTCATTACCAATATTTTTGTAGGATATTATATTTTTGGGCACCGGTTCTGCCTTCCCCACGCCCAACAGGGCCGTATCAGGCATGATCCTTCGAAACTCAGCCACAAATGTCCAATGGTTATTTGACTGTGGCGAGGGCTCTCAGGTGCAAGCCCAAAAAATTCCAGATGCACGTATAAAACGGATAACCCGAATCTTTATCACTCACATGCACATGGACCATGTTTACGGCTTGCCTGGTCTTTTGGCTACACTTGCACACCGCATGCAAGGTGAGGAACGTGGACCAGATGGTGTGGACGTGGAAATCTACGGCCCCCAAGGCCTTCGGCGCTTCTTACGTCTAACTCTGTCTTTGGCTTGGTCAGTTCGTAAAACAAGTTATTTATTCTTCCCATGTGGTAACCTTCACTTACAATTCTTCGAATTTGTTGAATTAAGTGTAGCTAACGTGCTTTTCTATCATGCAGAAGTGTCATACCCCTCAGTAGAACAGTTAAAAATGTTGATTAAGTCAACCGCTGTAACACAGAATATTGCATTTAGTACGTATTGCCCAGCTGCATGGATTCCCAAGAAAATTTTGCCGCAATTAACTAATCGTGGTTCGAATTTATATGTTTGATGTCGTGGTTATAAGAGCAAGTTTTCACAGAACACTTGAAACCTGAATGAAGTGCCGTTTACGGATGTATCCTCATTGAGGAGCTAGATATGGGCAACTTTACTCCTTTGCCCAATGGTTACCTGTATACTTACGCCAGAAAGTTGTGTTAAATTACTTCCTTGAGTAAAAATGTCAAGTGTTTGTAACTGACAAGGAATACTCCAGTATTCATGCAGGACGAAAATGTAGAGGATAGCCTCCCAATTTGTGTGTGATTGTATGCTGGCTCTATCAAAAATATCGAATCGATCTTCAGTCTACAGGTAAGTTATTCACCATCGGTTGTCATACATTGAAGGAACCGGAAATGGGAAATGCCGTCTGGCTATCCGTAAAGGATTAGAGTAAGTAGGGCCAGCCTACTTATATTTGCCCTGGACGAGAAATGCAGACTAAATCCCTTCTGATAACTTTATTCACATCACTTAGTGTTAAACTGCAATAAAAATTATGAAATTTGCAATTCGTTTTTGTCCTAATATGGAATAACCTTCAAAAAATATTGCTAAATCCCTTTGCAGTATTTCGAGACGGAATCATGTCATCTCGGAAAATCCCATGTTTTATGATATTTTTCTGAGCTTAGATCCCTTTTCGAAGAACTGCGCATACAACGATGCTAATCTTCTTGAAGTACATCCACATGGTCAACGTTTTCACGTGGGAAAATATGAAGTCTTTGTAAAATACCTATAGTGTAATTTCACTCAAATTTAAAAGCACACGCATTTTGTTGGACGCTCTAGAAATGAAAGTCTTTTCAACCGAATCACACTCGACAAATCTAACCATGTTCTCATCGCCTAGTGGATATATGCACGATCACTCGTTCATTCACCTTAAATGTCGCAGTTCGTTGCTCAGACTCTAGGCTGTTCTATTTTGCCAATGAAAAAATATTCTCTTTCTACTAGTTAACGCCCTAAAACTTACCAAGTATGCGTCACGTCCGCTTAAAGTTCGAAGTGAGCAAATTAATAAACATCGAAGTGAATCAAGAGACTTACTGTGAGCTTTATTTGACAGGGCACGAACCCAAAAACCTGCGTTGAAATCGGTTTATTTAAATTAATTTTCTGTTCATATGATAATCTGTTGTGAATTCTCTTGATTTGGTTCGAAAAGTTGTTCTGTTGGATTCGATAGGCTGTATATCAATTATTTAAGCTACTTGAGAGCAGTCTGACTTGCTGATGTTTTATGGCAGAGAACTCCACAACAAGGGCCATTTAACGCTAGAAAACTCAATTGGGAGCGGATAGCATTAGATTAAGTTTCCATCAAATATCTGGCTCATTACTGCCAGTCGCTGTCTATCTTACTCACCCCCTGTACTGGCTTGCTTGTTATATTTTTCTGCCTATTTTTTATATAGGGCCCTCCTGGATATCACCTACACCGTCCATGAACTCATGTTCAGTCCGAAGCAGACGTTGGTCCAGGACTATGTCAAGTATGCCTCCACGAAAGCTCACCCAGTTTACGACCCCATCTTGCCGTACGAAAGGCCGGGCCGAGATATCTATCCCGATGAGAATGGTTTGTTGACGATATTCAGTCATTGCCTATTGATATTACTGGCATTCGCATTACCTCTGTACTGACAGCAGGTGTGAG